GTACCCTGAAATTAAGATTACCTGATAAAAAAAGTGGACTTTCCCGAAGAGGAGGAGGGATTACTGGACAACTTAAGGAAACAACGTTGTACCAATAAACCAGCATTTGAAACACAACGCATAAGCAGAATTTATATATTTATTCACAGCATAAATCACATGAACAACGAGAAAATTAGGTAAAATGTAATCCACCGACTGTGAAAAAACCGGGCAATGTCCACCATGTTGCTAGAAATTTTTGCAGAAAAATTCCCCAGCTCTTACACAAAAGTAAAATTTGAGAAAATGCACTTTTTTTTGAAGAATAAACTTTTGGAAACTTTTTAAACGATTTTAGAGGAAAAATCTTTACAAGCAAACTGAAAAACTTCATCTGCTCCAATACCAAAAAATAAGAAATCATTTCCAAGTTACAGTGGCGAAGCTAACTCCGATAACCCTATCCAGAACTTGCCCCATAGTTTTTCGGCAAAATTAACCTTTCATTGAGGGGACACCCACACGTAAAAATGAAACAAACAATGAATTTTTCAGCTCTCGGAATCAAAAATGACACCAAAAAAAACAATACAGTAGAATACCGACAAAGGTATCTAAATTCCGAAAATTCCCTGCAGATGCGACACAGAGCAAAAGCATTTCCCTACGACAACGCAAAGAAATACCAGAACTAATCAACGACAGGGACAAGCCATCACAAGTGATATAGCATCGGTCACTAACAATCACAGACTTCGCTGAGAGTGTAACGATGCATTACAATAAAACGACAGCTAAATAAAATATCGAAAATTATTAAAATCAAAATTTAAAACAACTCCTTCCTCTGACAGAGAGAAGCACTTTTTTCTGAGTTGCCCGAGAGTGATAGCAAATGCCGACAACCACCTACTGATGGCTACACCACTTTCAAGAGCTGCTCACAAGCCAAGTTTGATTCCTTGGCACAAGTTCATGCCAACTGCCCACAGAAACGAATCATAGAAATCACTGGTTATCCCAATGCTGCTGGAGTCGGATCCTCAGTAACAGTGTTATGCGTGCTACTGCGCCATATCTATCTGCTATTAGTACTCAAACATCAAAATGAATATGAAAATAAAACTGCAGTACTGCAAGTAGATGGCCCACTAAAATAACATCGAGGTGGATTTCTGAACTTCTGCTTTCAGCAATCCGCATTGGCATTAGCCAATATCTTAGGATCGACTGACCCACAATCAACTACTGTTCGCGTGGAACCCACCCTTCTCCACTTCAGCCTTCAAGGATCTCACTTGAACATTTACTACTACTACTACCGCCAAGATCTGCACCAGTGGCTGCCTGTTACGAGCACTCAAGTATCAAAATGAATATGAAAGTAAAAAAAAAAACGGATTCCAAATAGGAAAAATTTGATCCCCCCCTCCACAAAAAAAATGTATTAGGATTTTACGGGATATTAGGATTTTGCGGGCAATCAGTGTGGGTATCTCATGCAAATAGTGGCACCAGTGATGTACACTTCGCAGTAAAAATTCCCAAATCCTTTTCCAAAATGTTACACCAAATCTTAAAACGACCAAAATTTGTAGCAAACAAACAGAGCAAGAGATTCCGTATAAAATTCAACTATGAAAAACAACGATATCACTTTTTGCTGGTAGCAAAACCGCCAAAACCCATAGCTGCAGCAACCTCCTCATCCAGCTGTACTTCTGCCTCAGGCTGTTTTTTCTTCCTCTGTTCCAGCCGCTTTGTTTTCTTATAGTCGGCCATACGAGCCTGAAATTCCAACATTTAAATTAGTCATTTACTGAAAAAAAAGATTTTTTTTCATGTTTGTTCATATAAAACCGAGCCTGGAAGCAAGATTCTTCATTGCCGATGGTGGGAAGACGGCGAGTGACAAGGCAATCCTTTTAAGCCCTAAAAGTCTGAATAAAAAATTTTGCTCACAAGCACAGATTATCCCAAAAGGAACATTAAATACTTGGGGTACCAAGAAAATCTACCGACTCTGTTATCACCACCTGCAAAAAAGTGCACTCCCTCCTAATTTGGTGAAAGAAGGAGACCAACCCCTTCCAGTTTCAAGTGTGCAGCAGCAAACACCCACCACCATCTACAGACTTTGAGAAGGCTAATTTTTCCATGCTTTCAGTAAGTCGAAAGTATGAACTTACTTCTTCTTCCTTAACATCGTCAAGCCTCTCGCGCATTTCGCTTTCTTTCTTTGACATTTCTTCTAGAAAATAACGCAAATTTTAATCCTCAAAAAACACCCTTTTCAAGTTTAATTTGAAACTTAACACAAAATTACATGAAAAAAGAGGCTCTTTGATCCCCTTTTTCTTCCCCCCTCCCCCTTCTCATTGCAGAGGTAGATGACGTTCACCAGGTAATTTAGTGTCACACAGTTACCTCAGTCAAGAAACAAACAAAAACCCCTACTGCACAAATAGGAAAAGATAAGTGCAAAAAAAAAAAAAAGACGGCATCTAACTACGTGAAACAAAACTTACGTTGCGTTTTTTTGAACTCAAATCGCTGTCGCACTTCTTCGAGCGTGCTTCGCTTGATCTTCATACTCATGCCCATATTGCGTTGATGATTCTTGCCATTAATGTGATCCAGGAAATTGATGGAATCTTTGACAACACAATCACACACATCACAATAGTAGCCACCAGTTTCAGCTGATGGTGTCGTCTTGTTGATCACCACCGTACGGCCAACCTTCGACTCCAAATCAACCTGAAAACAAAGATTTTAGCGCCGGAACTTGCTTGGTTGCCGAGTTGAAATACTCGGGCAGACAGACATACAGACACACACTTACACAAACATACACACACTGGTTACTGTGACAGGAGAAAAATGAGCCAAAATGAGGTATTGGATTGGGAGAAATCGCCGAAAATTTGAAAAATAATTGGTAAAGGGGAATCAAAATAACCGTCAAATAATTCAAAACAAGGATTCTTCTATTTTAGGCTTATTCAAAACCAAGCGCAACATTTCAAGCTTGCACTGATTTTCGCGCACTCATCTGACGCATCACTGAATCCAATCAAAACCGGCCAAAAAACTCTCCTAAACCAAGTAAAAATGATACAAAGTTAAATGAAAGGCCCAGAAATTTCGAATTTCACAAAAATCCATAAATTTAGAAAAAATTTCAATTAGAATTTCACAAAAGCACCTTGTATTCTCGGGCTCTGAGGTATTCCCGCTTCACTTTCTGCTCATCAGGAGTGTGCACCAGCTTCCGTTTCGCCCTCGCTTCCTGCTCCGCTTCGGCCATAAGCCGCTCCTGCGCTTTTCGCTCGTACTCTTCGCGATCCCATTTTCGGCGATGATCCAAACTTGCATTGCTCGCTACCGGCCCATAAACCTTAAAAGGAACAGTGATCGGAATATAAATTCGTTTACAGATATTTTTAGAGCTAAAAAAAGTATATAAGCAGAAATAAGGCAGTTGACAAGCGAAGGCACGAGGATGGAATTAGGGGGGTAAAAAAGGGCAAAAA